AAAAAAAAAAAAACACCAAATTTCTGCAGGTCCCCAATACTTTTAATTCTCCACAAACTAATATTCAAAATGCCTCTGCCATAGATTTTGCCGAATAACAAATAAATGCATTATATTCAGCCATGTTAATAATAAAAGGAAGAGGGTGTTCCAACGTGAGCTTTTCCCTCCAGTAATTTGAAAGAAGTAGTACCTTCTGTATGTATTGTTCAACTGAAATTAGATCTCTGGATTATACTTATTAAAATGTCTCCTTATTTTCAAATCTCTTCCTTATTTAATTACTGCATGAGACTGAAAGCTGCCTGGAATTGTTAAATACCCTTAGACCTATTTATAGTCTCTTCACACTGGTAACTTGAGCACACTCATTTGGCAAAAGTCCTGCCCACCAACCCACACGTTGGGTTTGCAATTCCCACCTGGCTCAGGGGTCTCTGACTGAGAGGAGGAAGATGCTGAGCTGGCTCCATCCTCAGCGGTGCCCTGTGAGAGGAGACCCCGCCCAGGCGGGAGCTTCATGCCCAGCTGCTCTGCCATCTCCACATGGTCCCCAGGGTGGACATAGTCAAAGACGCTGCTGCCTGTCAGCTCCACCTAGAGGGGGCAGAGAAAGGGTGGGAAAGAAAGGTGTCACAGGTTTTTCCATTTTCAAATTCAGCACCACAGCAATTCAGATTCTGAACAGGAAAGGAAATATACTCAGGCCCCAGAGACAATCCTGGTTCTTTGTCTCCATCTTCAAATACTTAAGGATTCCTGAAGTTGAAAGAGAAAAAAATTTTTTTGCATGTATTTATTTGGCAATTGTTTAGCCCAGTTTTTTCTCATATGCTGTTGTTTGCATAAAGCAAAAACATTTTGTGAAACGTGGATGAGTCTGCCTTGGATTCAGCTGTTTTATCCACGCATCATCAAATACTTGCATGTTTGGTGTCAATGGGATGATTGACTGAATTCTACTGTTTTCTTATTGAGAAGTTTGGGCTTTGTACAGAAACAACTATACAAACAGCCAGAGATAGCAGACGAGTATTTTCCTTAAAATACACAGATTTCCATGATGCGTGTTTATACATACCATCTTATTTCTATGTAAATTTAAATGTAAGAAGTGCTGCTTACGAATATATGCAGAGGCATAATGCTTTCATTAAATATTACTCATTAGCTCTGTAATCATATGGAGAATTTTCCATGCAAAAGAGGTCAGCTGGGGTCTGAAGCAGCCATTTTTTTCTTGCTGGTATCAGCTTGTTTTGCCTTCAATCTAATAAAATACATGGTAGAAATCTCCTTGAGGGTTTTTTACAAAGTGTTTTATTTTGTGTACTCTTTGAATTAGGCTGGCTCTAAAGGTAGAGAATGAGTATCAAATATTAGAAAAGTCTCCGCCTGAAATAGAGGCACTGCCGATTCCAAAGCTATCAGGTATGACCCCTGTGTCTGGATTGTGTGCTGTAGGAGGGGGCAGAAATTGCTAGTAAGAATTGGCCTTACCTCTGTACTCTTCTCATGCTCCAACTTTCATTGCCCTCCAAGCATAGCAATAATGCTCCTAACATTATGTACTTGGGTTACAGGTATTACAATAGGGAGAGATGTGTCAGCAACAGGAGAAGGAAAAGCTCTTTCCCAGGTCACTAATGGCTTTCCCGGTTCTCTGGAGTCTAATGGTCTCAGGCCAGCTATCATGTACCATGGAAGTTGCCAGAACGTCATATTGTCGTCACAACTTTCTTGGTGACTATTTACCTAGAACCCCTTCCTACCTCCTTTCTCCTTCCTGTGTAATTTCCAGCATCCCTGCAAATTCCACCTGAGTATTTTCACTCTCTTCCCTGCCGAGAAGGAAGCCTGGAAGTGGGTGAACTGTCACGGATAGGATAATACTCAGAGCAATCATTATCCTTAGAACTCCAAGTCCTGGTAAAATGATCACATCTACTCCCAGACACCATTTGATTAGAATTTTAACAGGCTACACATCTTTAACATCTATCAATTAATAGAAGACTATATAGTATAGCCAGAAAAATACAAGGCTAAATTCAGTTTGGTTAATAGCTATTCCTGAAAAACATTTGCATAACTTCTACTGAAAATGAGGTACTTTCTCTTGCTATTAAATTACAGCCACCTACTGTATTACCTGACTACTGCCTGGATCATTTTACAATACCTATTTCCTGCATTTGGTATTGTCACAGAGGTAAATCGGGATTCACAGTGATCAGCTCCTACCCTCTGGGAGGGGGGGATTACATGGAAATAATCCCTTTAATGTGCGCCTTGCCTCTAAGCACTTCACACAGTAATAAATGGGTAAACTGACTTTGAGCAATTAAGAAATTAAATGAAACTAATAAAATGTGTGTTTTAATATTTCTTGATGGTTATTTTGTTTGGGGATTAGTGAATATGAGGAAGTTGCTCTCAATTTGTATGGAGCCCAATTGCGGCACTTTAATAAATACTTCTGTCACTTTTCTCAAACTCTGATTTGTTTCTTTAATACTGCAATGTGCCTTTTGGCACAGACCACAGATTGTGATAAGATGACAACACAAGTGGGAGATAAGATCTTTTAGGGGTGCTAGTTATTGAATATTCATGTAAGCCAGTCTTAAGGAATGGAGGAATAGGCCACTATCTCCACAACCTGATTTGTCTGGATATGCAGGCACTTCCTTTCCACAAAATAATGTCCTGAGTGTGGCACATCTGGAGCAAGACTGAGTCACACTGCACCTTACTGCATTATGACACAGTACTTTCTCCTCCAGTGGCTTTGTGGGATTCCCCACAAAGATATCTCAAAGCCTAATGAAGAGGTTGGCACTGAGAATTTGACACTATCACAGTCTTTATGTGTAAAGCACAAACTACTTGAAGTCATAAGTCATAATCTGACTTTGAAATCAGAATCTTTTCTTTCTCAGCTGGATGACCTTGGACAATTCATTGAACCTCCTTGGGCTTCACTTTCTTACTCAAAAAGTGGCAGCATTGCTGCTCTGCAGACCTCTGGGGCACCACTCACACTGTATTCCATGATGCTAGCACCCCCTGCAGTGCTGTTGCTTGAGAATGGAGCAAGGCAGTGACCTGACAGCTAGGCTGAGAATGACTTGCTTTCCCTGGCTCATAGCCTAATTTTGGAGATCTCATGGAACCACGCAGAGAAAGTCATTTTGTGAGAAATAAGCACTATAGACTGACTGATATTGTTGTTGCTGTTTGGTGAACGAGAATGTATGACACACAGAAATGTATATTACTGTGTAACTTTGTGTCATCACTTTGGGACTTCACTTTAGTCAGCAGGGGGTACACTGGGGATGTTACATGCTTTGAGTCTTAACAGCAACAGTAACAGCATTATCAGCTACCTACTGTGTGCAGGAACTTTCTATACTTTAATTAACTGTAATGACAGTCTTTTGAATTGGTATGATCATCCCCATTTTATACAAGAAGAACCTGAATACTGAAAAAGGTCAATGGGGGAGATAGAACTAGGTGCAAAGTCTACTTGACTGAACTCGACCTACCACCTCTCAGGTAGTAGCCTTTGCAGTCACAGAGGCTGGGCAGTGGCCTCTGACTCCTATATCCTCCAGCCTCACTCTTGTTCAGGAGAGAACACTGAGCTCCACCAAGGCAGAGGCTGAGGCTGCTGTGCCATTGGACTCTGAGGCCCAAAACAGGCACTAAAGGAGGTGTCATAACAAAACAGATGTGGGGGTAGACAAAAATCTACTTGCATGTGCAACGCAAGTCATCACCATCGTCATTATTATTATCACATCTTACATTTATATTTCTTGTACTGCTTTCACTTCACTTAATTAAATATTAGAGCTAGAAGAGACCTTAAAAACCATCTATTAATATCCTCTTATTCAAGAGGTGAAAACTTTACAGTTGTGAGAAGTTGAAATGCTTTTTCAAGTTCATCCATCCGTTTAGTGGTAGAAGCAGGATGTAAGCCCAACTGGTTAACTTGGTCTACCACTTTTCTCATAAACCCTCGTCTGTTTTTTTTTTAGAGCTCATGTTTCCTGTTACTAAATTCTGTGCCTCAAAATAGACTACAGAAACCAAGACTGGGAATTTTTTACTTGATGAACAGACATTACTTCATGTTTACTTCAAGTAGTAAAAATAAACAATACTCCAATCAGTGTTAATTAGGTACCTTTAAATTCCCAGTTACCAACTCTTTGAAAACTTTTGACCACTGAAAACTAGGATTAGAGTCTTATATGTAGTAGGTCTATCCAAATGTTTGTTGAATGAATAAAGGATGGGTATTTAAGCCTGAAAATATTTTCGCCTTATCTGTGGTTGATTTGGGCAAGTTTAAGTTGGTTCTTTTACATTATTAATGGCATTATTATTATAGCATTATTAACTCTGTAAAATGAGTTACAATATAGCACTGTAATATGTTCATTCCCCATAAGTCTTTGCCATATGTATTAAGACATATTCCTTTTTTTCTAGACCCTAACTGAGTTTAATAGAGGACAGAACTGTATAAATGCTGGGAAAGGACAAATTTTAAGGAACTCCTTAAGAGAATAGTGACCATCTTTCATTACCTGTTTTGTTTTTAGTCTGTGGCAAAACTGTGTTTAGCTGGGTAGTTTCCAACTTTCACTACCCTATGTCCTCATTATCTGAATTGTAACATCATCCCATTAAAAATTCTTTCTTTTTTTTCTTTTTACCCTTTTGTCTTTTTTCGTGACCAGCAACGGATCGCAACCCTCAGTGTCGCACCCGTACTGGACCGGGACCGGCAACGGGATCGCAACCCTCAGTGTTGTGCCCGCACCCTGCTCAGCCAGTGAATGGCCGGTCTGTATGTGGGATCCGAACCCTCGGCGGGAGCGCCACCACGCTCCCAAGTGGCGCACTGTAGCAGTGCGCCACCGGGCCGGCCCTAAAAATTATTTCTTAACTATCGCTTGAACTCATCAACAGGAGAAGCTTCATTTTTATATTAGTTATTGGTCCTATCTTCAATCCTTAATTATGATCTACATAATGGAAAGGTATAGTATTTTCCCCCTAATAGTGTGTTCTTCTGATTAGTTCAAATTGCATTCTAAGGCAAATGCGAGGACCTTAATGCCATCGCAGATCCCTCCAGGACAGACCATGGTCACTAGTGCCATCTGGCATAGCCTCTAGTCAAGATAAACCACACAGCTTTCCTCAAACTTATTTCATGTTCTGTTAGCTTGCATGTAATTTGCACACTAGACGTAGTGGATTTGGTAACTGAAGTTTACTGGAAAAAAATGTAAATATATCATACAGTGGTGGTTTGAGTTGACTTTCCCATGTTGAGGTCATTGTACCCTGCTGGTAGATAGGATGAGGGACTAATTTGTCTTTTCATACATCAAACAAGTCAATAGCCTTTGCTTGGCCCCCTGGAGTGAGCAATACTTTTTAACTACAGCAATGTACTAACAGTACAACTCATTGAATTCAGTGCTGCTTTGATTGAAAGTATATCGTACAAATGAGGAACAGGCAGTGATATTGTAAGTCATCTCCTATTGGAAAAACTTAAGAGGATT